CTGGGAATTTCAGATGAAGCCATTAGTTCGGTTCTGGTAAGAGAAGAAGCCAAGTAGCAGAAACCAATATATTATATCAGCAGTGTGCTGCATGGGGCCGAGTTGAGGTATCCTATAGCTGAGAAAGCAGCCTTAGCAGTCGACGAGCTGAAGTCTTATCTTAGCTCACCACCTCTACTGACTAAAGCCAAAGATGGAGAAATCCTTTATTTATATCTGGGAATTTCAGATGGAGCCATTAGTTCGGTTCTGGTAAGAGAAGAAGCCAAGTAGCAGAAACCAATATATTATATCAGCAGTGTGCTGCATAGAGCCGAGCTGAGGTATCCTATAGCTGAAAAAGCAGCATTAGCAGTTGTCACTTCGGCCAGAAAGTTGAGGCCATATTTCCAGTCACACCCGATCATTATTCTTACAGACCAACCTCTTTGGCAGATTCTGCAAAAGCCTGAGTGTTCTGGAAGATTAATTAAGTGGGTAGTAGAGCTGGGGGAATTTGAGATAACATTTCAACAGAGATCTGCAATCCGAGCTCAGGCACTAGCAGATTTTATTGTAGAGTGCACTCCAGGTAATTCCATTCCTACTCCGGAACCCAATGACTGGACCTTATATGTTGATGGGGCATCTAGTAGCAAAGGTTCAGGAGCTGGTGCCCTCTTGATCGGCCCAGATGGATACCGAAGTGAACATGCTTTGAAATTTAACTTCGATGCAACAAACAACATGGCTGAGTATGAAGCCCTGCTACTTGGTCTGCAGCTAGCATTGGAATTAAAACTCAGTGCGATCCAAGTATACAGTGACTCCCAGCTGGTGGTAAACCAAATTAACTCAATTTGCGAAGTTGTTGATCCTGTGATGGTGAAATATGTAGCTCTGGTGGCCGAGCTTAAGTGCAAATTCCAGAAATTCTGTCTGAGCAAAATCCCTCGAACTGAGAATGAACAGGCAGATTCACTCTCTAAATTCGCCTCTGATAGTTCTTCACATTCCAGATCAATTTTTGTGGAGGTCTTAGATGAACCAAGCTTCATGAAGCCACGGGTGATGGAGATCAGCACCGACCCAGGCACACCGAGCTGGACTGACCCAATCCTCTCCTTCTTACGAGACGGGATAGTACCTGAGGATAGGCAGGAGGCAATGAAGTTAAGGAGGAAAGCATCTTGGTATACACTTGTTGATGGGATCCTCTATAAGCGATCTTTCTCTCAACCTCTTCTACGGTGCTTGAATCCCTATGAAGCAGAATATGCACTCAGGGAGGTGTATGAAGGTGTCTGCGGAAGTCACGTGGGTGCTCGGACTTTGGCTCATAAAGTCCTTAGACAGGATTACTATTGGCCCAACATGTACAAGGATGCCACTCACTTTGTTCAGAGATGCTTGAAATGCCAGTTCTTTGCGCACCTGACTCACCAGCCTGCAGAAGAGCTCACTACTCTGGTAGCACCATGGCCATTTGCTCAGTGGGGATTGGATCTATTGGGCCCATTCGTGAAGGGGGTTGGTGGTGTAACCCACCTGATTGTCGGTGTAGATTATTTCACAAAGTGGGTTGAAACTCGGCCGTTATCCAATCTTACTTCCAAGAAGGTTGAAGACTTTGTTTTCAGCTCAATCATCTGCAGATATGGGATCCCGAATCAGATTGTGGCTGATAATGGAACTCAATTTAACTGCACCTCTTTTCGAGATTTTTGTTCCAACTACGGGATTAAACTGCAGTTCACCTCGGTTTACCATCCGGAGTCCAACGACATGGTTGAATCTGTTAACAAGTGCATCTTAGAAGGTATAAAGCCGAGGCTGGAACAACACAAGGACAAATGGGCAGACGAGCTCAACAACGTCCTCTGGGCATACCGAACTACGAGTCGAACTACCACAGGTATTACTCTACACCTGGCCTATTTGATTAATTTTATATTATTTTGCTACGGTTTTACCTTAGAGCAAATATGCATAACGTGTAAAGCGCATTCTAAAGTTATAATCTACTGAAATAGGTGAAACACCCTATCATCTGGCCTTTGGTACCGAAGCAGTCATTCTTATCGAGATAGGAGTCCCGAGCTTCAGGGTCACCCATTTCGATGAAGGGCAAAATGGACAACTGCTTCGGGAGAACCTTGATCTGCTTAATGACGTTAAAGAAAAAGCACGACTTCAAACTCTAGTCTACAAGTAGAAAATAGCAAACTTCTACAACAAACGAGTTCGACCCCGAACGTTCAAAGTAGGAGACCTTGTCCTCAGGAAAGCTGGTCTGACGGGGTTCGAAACTCGATTCGGCAAGTTAGCACCAAACTGGGAAGGCCCCTACACTGTTTCCGAAGTGCCGCACCTAGGTGCTTATATCCTACGGGACACTGAAGGCAAACGGGTTCCCAGGGTATGGAATGTCAATAATTTGAAGAAATTCTACCCTTAGTACACTTCTTCCCAGTGAACTTCGTCCTATTTTCATAAGCATCGTCATTTTTTCTTGCTCACTCTGTATTCGAGCTCAATTTACTTATCTCATTAATGAATTTCACTTCACGTTCGAAGTGATTCAGTTCTGTGAACTCTGCTATGCGTTGGAAGTGGATTTCATTTATTTCTGAAGTCAGTTCATTCTAACTCATTCAGTCACTTCATTTTTAGGGTTATAATCCTATTAATCAGTTACACTTTATTTTTTGAAGTGCTTTACTTTGTCTTTGAGATATACCTTATGGACATCCGAAGTCAACTACTATACTGTTTATTTTATCCGAGGTCAGAACCTTATGTTAATTCAGGTTAACTTATCCAAAAAGAGTTCCTCAAAGCAAAACATCAATCACAAATCAAAAAATCGAACACCAGATAAATAATAAATTCAAAAATTTTATACAAAAATGTTATTTACATCAATAACACAGAAAATCCTAAACTACTCTGCTGGAGGAAGAGGCTGCTCCTCAGTAGGAAGAGGTGGTGATCTGGGCTCGTCTTCAGCAAGCTGAGGTGGCATTTCTACTTCAATAGGGGCCAACGTCTGCACTTCGTCAGACGAGACTGGATGCACCTCAAGAGGCTGCACTTCGACTAGAGCTGCCTAATCCTCAACTCCAGCGCCTTGCGCTTCTTTTACTCCTTCTTCTTCTTCCTCCACGGCCACCAACTCAGCGTCAAAGGCCGGAGGAAAAATAGTGAGCCCCTCTGCATCACGCTCCCACCTCAGCGTGATCTGAGGTCGAAAGTCAGCACAGAGGCTCTCCCCATCTTCCTCCACCCCTTCTTCTTGCTCCCCAAAGGTAACTGTTGTCACGTCCACCTCTGGGTACTGGGCCTTCACCTTCTTTCTACAGTCGGTGAAGGCCACGATTGCGGTTGGCAGCCGGTAGAGTTTGAGGATGTTCTTGAAGGTGCTGGAGTTGAGGAAGTTGCCAATGTGCTCCTCCATCCCGTTGTGAACCAGCAGGTTCACATTCTTCTTCAGCTCCGCTGCTCTTTTCCTCATATTGTCAATGTATTTGTCCTAAGCCTCAAGCTTCTCCTCACAGATCTTCCTCTTACGTTCTTCGAGGACAAGCTTCGTGCTTAGGACATCATTCTCGTTTTGGAGCTCGGTCACTGAAGAGAGAACTTCATCCAGCCTCCTCTGCATCTCCCTCTTCTCCTTCTCCCATTCCCCCCTCTCCTTCTGCAGCTCATCCTTCTCTTTCTGCAGCTGCTCACACTGCCTCTGCAAGCTGGCACGATCTCTCACACTCTCTGCATACTCCTGCGCTAGAGCGTTTGTTTAGCTCGCACTCTACAATGCAATCAGAAGTTAGATATCAGATACAGAGGTCAAAAAACTCAAACATACAACCGAAGTAAATTCCAACTATTTCGTATACCTCTAGGGCATGCCTCACAACGGTATTCCCCAGATGGCTAACCACTTCGTCCTTCGCCTACACCCTATCCACCTCAGGAAGAGTTGAGTTGAGGAAGTGCTTCGCCCCAGTCGTGTTTGTCGCCTCAAACAAACTCTTCTGGTATGCGTGAGGAGGGATGAGCTCCTTGCTCCTGCCAGGGCCTCGCACCTCGGCCTCTTCCCTCTCCTTGACTTCAAGATCGATTTGAGGAGGAGAAGGGCGAGGCATGAACTCAGTCACCTCATCCCCCCTCACCTCTAGTTCAGCTACCTTCCTCTTCTTCCTCTGAAGTGGTGCTACCTCTTTACTCACCTCCTCACTATTCCCTCCTGCAGGCTCTAGCCTCTGCTGTATCTTCAGCACTCGAGCAGAAGTGCTAGGCAGGCGCTCTTTCTCTGGCACCCCTTTGTTCGCCGCAGCTGAAGTCATTGACTTCTTCCTTGGCTTCTTTGGAATGCGTAGTCCCCCAACAGCATTTGTAAACTCGTCCATCTCAGCTGCAAAACAAGCACAAAGGTCAAAACACACCAACTAAGATCTAACTAATATAGCACAGTATAAACATACACAAACCTTCGCTCAATGAGCTTGGCCCATAGAGCTCAGCAGCCTCTATTGCCTGCGGACTGGTGAGGTGTAGGATGTCCACCACGTCTCCTTCCTCCCTCACCAGCTTCTCCACCTCCTCCACCTCATCCTCATTTAATTTATAGTTGTTCTGCTTGGTTTTCTTAGCTTTCCAAGCAGACAACTGTTCCACTTCGGCATCCCTTCTACTCCACTCGGTGTCATCCACAAAGAAGAATTTTTCCTTCCACCCTTTGATGGATGACGGTCCAGCTGTTGACGACCACTTGAAATTTTTTTCAAAATAAATTGAAAAATCAAGTGTGAAATGTATAAGAAAAAGGGAGTTGCCACTCGTCCAAATTATAAGGTGGGACAAGTCACCTAAAACGGGTCTACGCAGAGATCGAGGTTCGGGGGTTCGGTTAGGAGTGAGGAAGGGCATACGCGCACCTCACAGTTCTTCGTTTAAACACGGTTGCATACTTTAACATTAGGGGTTTTGATTCAACTTATTTATTACATTTATATTTGAGTCTTAATAAGCAAACTTAAAAAAAGAGATAAACCGAATCAAAACATTTTTTTTATTTTTGGATTGAAATAGACAAGATCAAGAACATGCATGCACAATAAACACAAATAAAAATTAAAAGGACTACTTTGACTAAATTCGAAACATGAAGGACTAATTTGGTTAAATTCAAAACATAAAGGACTAATTTGAAAAGAGTTAAAACCCATGGACTGAATTGCTTAATTACAAAAGTTTTGGATGAAATTGAGATAAAATGAAAGATATCTTTGACTTTGACCAAAATTAAAGTTAATTGAGAA